TTCATTTGTACTATTCATTTTTACTTCTTTAATTAGTAAACAAGCCTTAGATATATATAAGACTTTACCTATCTTATAAAAATAAACTATGATCATACTAAAATATAGGACCAAAATTTAAAATTTTCTCATCTTTCACTTGTCCATAACCCAAAATTTTCAAATTGTTAGATAAAATGAAGAAATTTGAATGGTTTACATATAATTTGTGAAGACTAACCGAACTTTTTGCATCCAATCACATGATCATCATATGTTCGTTAGAGATGACAAAGGTTCAAATTGTTTTTCTCATATTATTTATGTAAATCAAACAATTTCTGAGTTTTATTTGACATAAAATATAACTATATAACTATATTTTTACTATAACTTAAAATTTCTTTATTTTTTTACTTTTGAAAGTTTCTAATTATATAGGTTTAATAAAAACACTAATTCATTGGCCCTCAAAATTAAAATCATTACTTTACATGTTACGAAAATTCAAATAACAAAACTCATTTGTAAAAGTCCCTTTTAGTTCGCTAATGAGTGAACAAGCCATAAATATGTAAGTTTACCTATCTTATAAAAAATAAACTATGATCATAACAAAATATAAAGGAACTTTACCAAAATTTAAAGTTTTCTCATCTTTAACTCAAAATTTTCAAATTGTTAGATAAAAAAAAGAAATTTAAATGGTTTACATATACTTGTGAAAACTAACCGAACTTTTTGCATCCAGTCATATGATCACCATATGTTTCGTTTTTGTTTTTCTCATATCTTATTATATAAAAGAGAATGCGCACGATGAGAACGCGACACGTAAACAAAATTCTTATTCACAAGATCATCACATATGTATGTATTTATTAATTTAGATTGTGACAATGTGCTAATATTAACAAAAAAAATAAAAAAAAAATAAGAAATATATTCTAAACAAGGATAATAGACTTAATTAAGAAAAAGTAAGAAAAAATGTTATAAAAAAATATGCAATATTTCCAATATTAACAAAAAAAATTAAAAATAAAATAAGAAATATATTCTAAACAAAGATTACGGACTAATTAAAAAAAGGAAAAAACCCGTTCTACTAAAATATGTAATATTTCTAATTTTTTATATTACAAAATACATTCTTTCCATTATAAATTATCTAAATAGTTAAAGACAAAAGAAAATGTCCTAAATGTGATATTTTGCTAATATAATTACGTGTATGAGACAATTTTAGTATGAGATAAATATAATAAATTGTTCTACTAAGTGTCAAATTATAGGCATTATAAATTTTAAAATCAAAAATATTTACCGCAATGTATTTTTTATATCAGCATGACATGTAAGCAAAAATATAACTCATGCAACATGTATCTAATATTAATCAGATGAAGAATGTGTTAAAACTTAAAATTACTTAAGAAAAATAAAATTTAAAATAGAAAGTAATTGTCAAGTTACTAATCAAATAATAAAAAGTAAAATTTCTAATATTATCAATAATAATAAAGAAAAAAGTTTAAGATTAAATATAGATATGCCATAAGCCATAAAATAAAAAAATAATACATATAGAATAAATATCTCAATTAAAATAAATAAAAAGATGAATGATAAAAAAAAGAAGGTATATAAATAGGAAAAACAAAAGTTAGAAAGGTTATAGAAACCTCAATTTAAAAGTTTAAAAATATACACAACCATGCAAAAATAAAATAAAAATAAAATCTATAAGAATATTTATTTCATCAATATAGAGTTACATAATATCACAAAGTAAATATTTTTTTTATCTATGACGCCATTGGTATTTTTAAGTGTATATATTAAAAATTATATAAGTTAAAAATAATAATTTATATTTACCATTAAGTTAATAATTATAATGTTTGGCGAGTATAAATCTCTATGAGAAATAAAACGATGACATTAATAAAATACAATTATCAATTATGTACTTATGTGATGGTTCACAACATTATTTATAGTTTTATGAGGTTACTAACATAAAATTTACTTTTTTCTGATTTAACTATATAGTATTTTACTTGTTTTTATTTTATAACAATTACAAAAATGTCACTTTTTTAAAATTATTTATTCATTATATCATTTATGTTTGGATTAACTATGTTGTATTAGGATTTAGTTTTGAAGGTTTGGGGGATTTTATGGGTCAAAACATTTTTTTAGGGTTTAATTATTTAAGATTTAGGCTCTAAAAATTCATAATTAGTATTATTTTTGCAAATGTACACATCAAAAGTGACATTTTGTAATTGTCCCTATTTTCTATCACATAATCATAAATATTCATAATGTGTTAAAATATATATTTTATTTGTTATTAAAAAAATGATTTAAATTCAGATAATATATATTTTTGAATTTGCATGATATGTATTAGAACATGAGAATTATGATATAAATTAATTTCTATTGGTTTTAGGATCCACGTTAAGTAATTTTTTAAAAATTTAACGGGTTACTAATTAAAATTTAAAGATTTATTTCATTTAGCCGCGTATTAACGCGGATCCCATTCTAGTTATTATATAAATCAAACAATTTCTGAGTTTTATATGAGATAAAATAAAACTATATTTTTACTTAAACTTAAATTTCCTTATTTTTTCTTTTGAAAGTTTCTAATTATATAGGTTTAATATAAACACTATATATTAAATTGGTCCTCAAAATTAAAATAATTACTTTAGAGTTACGAAAATTCAAATAACAAAACCCTAAATTCCCTTTACTTCTCTAATAAAATTCAAATAATAAGAATTTACCTACCTTATAAAAAATAAACTATGATCATCATAATAAAATATAAAAGCATCTTTACTAAAATTTAAAGTTTTCTCATCTGTCACCTGTCCGTTAGATAAAAAATAAAGAAATT